TAGTCAGCTTTAGTAAACATTATTTAAATATATTTCTTAGAAATGAGAAAATTTGATATAGACGGAGAAACCTCGATGGATTTATGATAAGCATCTGCAGGTACTAAGTGGAGCTACAAAAGCGCTTCTTACAGAATACTTGGTCTAGTATTAAAAGCATAAAAGTTGCCTTTTGTTGTGACAGCAAAGAAAAGTTTTAAAAATTTGAGCAGTTAAGTGATCATCGCGGGTATGTAAATTTATTCTACATATTGTATCGGCAACGTGGTACACTCGGAAAAGTGACATTGACATCGCCTAAGATTAAGAAGATGTTTGAAAAAGAGTGTACGCGAGTGGGAGATACTTGACAGCTATGTTAAGGAACCGGGATAAAGACACTACGTCATCACACTTCAGATGGGGAGTTTCCCAATTGCTATTTTCGCCGTGTGGGTAACCACAAATAACATTAAACGCGAATCGCTGAAAGAGCTAAAAGCTATTACAAAGATCGAGTTTCAAAAGTTTTTCGAGGATTGGAAAAAGCGTTGGCACAAGTATATTATATCCGAGGGGGATTATTTTGAAGGGGACAAAATATATATTGATGAATAAATAAATATTTCTTTCATAAAACGAAAATTCTCGCTATTTTTTGAATACACCTCGTAGAAGTCGATATTTATTTGACGCATAAAATAGACAATTAAAAATATTATAGAGCTATGACGAATATTATTTGACTGGTAGGATCACGATGAAAAACGTAATGCAATATGCACTTTATTTGCACGCAGTAAGGTATTATTTACCACCGGGTTTGCGACACCTTCTAAAACACGTACTACCTCGGGCAGGCTAAGAAATAGACCGACTGTTTAAATTAATTAATTAAATTCAAAATTAAATTAACTTAATTGCTTTTGTTTAAAAAAATTGTAGTAAATATGACTTATGAAGTTTCTAATGCGAATATAACCACGGACAGACGTTATAAAAAATACCTTATCGCCTTTGAAAACATCGTTACCATCTCGTGAAACTCCACTTTCGAAATTATTACATTTTAAACTGAAAAGTTAGCACTTATGGCACAACCGCAACTTTCATTTTACATATCTTGATATTTTTCATGCTTACATTTTTATCCGAAAGAATTTATATGAAATCAATATTTTTTCTATTGCGTGCTACAGGCATTGTTTTATTAACTACTGAGTTCCAATAATCCTTGCGAGTTTATTTTCTTACTTTAATGTCAATTCTGATGAGTTTTCGTATTGAAATTTTAGTTAAATAAAAACTGTTTCTTAAAAATAACAAGCTTACATACTACTGCCCATCCCATCTCGAAATGTTATTTCAAAAATTATTTAAGGGCTCTTTCGTCATAAAAGGCGTGAGATGAAGACTATTAATTTATCTTTTTGCAGCTGATAGTAACGGCCAATACTCCAAGATATATTTAAATGTAAACTATAATTAGCTACATACATCCATTTAAATTCAGTTAAAGATCCCAAGCATCACGAGTCAAAGATAGCTGATGACTCGTAACGAGTGACCGTGACTAGGTCGTCCTCGGTGCTACTGGACCGCATCAGATAAGGCCACGATAACATTGGCAGCGATCGCGGAAGCGCTTTTTGTAATATAGAAAAAATATCGCATTTATTCCTATGCTACTACTAAATTCATCACTTTAATAATAAATATATTACGTATTTTATCCTTGTGGGTTTTTTGTAATTACTTTAATTTCACTGTTTTTATCGTATTATATCGACATTAACATTTTTTTTAAATATTTGATTTAGTCTTAGTTGTGTTATTTGACAAATGGTTTTTGGTGTTTAAGCGCGAGCAAGACTAAAAAGATGGAATAGATTGGCGGTTTTAATAGTTAGAAATTTCATACATACAAGTAATATGTAGATTAAATTTTCTATCAACTTTACAAAGCCTGTAAATGATTAGTAATCCTTTCCTTGTTTTTTATCGCAATTCGCTACCTTCGTTGTCTCGGTCTAAAAGGTACTTAGTGACAAATATCGATTTACATTATGCACTTTTTATTATAAAGAAGCCCTGACTAGAGGAAGCCATTTAATTAAAATATAATTTCTGTGTGAAAATTTTTCACTAAGCGGAAATGTCGATAAACAGAAGTTTAATGACAATATTTTAATACTTAGTAGTTAACACACAATGTTAATTCAGAGAGAGCGAGTTCGATTGGCAGTAAAATGATACAGTTTGTAAGGGCGCAGAAGGCTGATCACCTAATTAGGGGTTAAGAGCCTTCAAAAACCAACCAGCCTATTCTATATAACATGTTATATATGGACAAAATGTAACTTAGAATCACTGACGTAAAGTGTACCACAAGGTACCTTATCTGTACATTCACTAAATAAGATGTATAAAAATAGCACCAATATGGTTTCGTACTCTCTAAGTAGGTACTAATAGACAGAACTCTAAAACAAACTTCATATATGTCTATTGCTTTCACCTCCTTAATTGTCATATTGTATATGTAAATATTTTCCTGATGGCGCATTTATACTATGACCGTAACTCATACACTTAACGATATTCATACACATAAAATTCCAATTCAAAACCTGTTTTAGTATAAAATATTTGATCGCTATTTTTGTGCATTTGTCCTTCCTTAAATGCCGAATCCTATAACGGTACTGACTTACAAATGTTTTATACGGTTATTAACCTAAGCTTGAACCGGTAGGCGGTGTTAAAGACCCGAATTTGTTTAATTTAAAAATAATTAAATTCTAAGTTAAATCAAATAAACATTAGGTTATTAGAATGCAAATTGGTGCATAATGATGCTATAGATCAATTGAGACATTGTGAGAAGGATCATAGACTCGGACAAATCCAGTTCCTAATTAATATTGTACGTGCCAACCTCCCAATCTGTCTATTTCTTTAATGGCGCCAGAAATAGAATATTTTAAAGCATTTGCAATAATTGAAGTTAGATGAAAAATAATAATAAAAAGTTCATACAATGATTCAGAAGGGAAGTGCTGATTTGTGATTTTAGGCTTCAGCCGTCAAATTCCGAACATATTGAAAGTTCAAACTAAAAAAAAATAGAACATCTTTCATACAAATTTTGACATACATAAACTAGAAACAATCAGATATTAAATAAGCCATTTACTAACAACAAACTCTTTGAATAATTGACGATAACAAACAGGAATAAGTCATTAATAATTTAATTACTATCCCGTTGAACTTAATAAAAACAAATATTTAAAACGCTGTATCTCAGCATTACGTGTTTTATCACAGAAAAGTATGTACCAACAATTTTTGTCTAGCCTCAAACAAAATCGGATATTTTCCCTATTATTAAAAAAAACAACAAATTATTTATACTAAATCTCTTTCGTACCTTTCTGATAAATTAATTTACGCTATGATGAAAGAGACACATGAAAACTAAAGCTTCACTATCTTACGCTCGTGTCTAATGTAAAAGATGACACACATCGCTGGTATTCATTCGAACAAATGATTCGTCTCAGTATCGGTAGGCGCACCCGCAGACGCTAAGAGGTTAGCGACCGCGCGTTCAGCTTTTGACATTTAGGTACGTCACTATTCGATTGCAATCAATTAATAATAATCTATGCCCTTTCACTATAGATTCTGAGATATGATAACAATCATAAAAAAAAAATGAAATTTATTAATTGGATAGATTCAAGCTCAACGTGAGCTTTTGACCCATTTATTTAATTAAATATCCGATACGTTTTATATACAAAGCACAGTTGAATTAGACCTAATGTAGTCTAACAAACCATCAGGCATCGCCAAGTTCAAACAACGGTAAACGCTCATTAATGCATGTCTAGTGAATATTCTATCAAAATGTGATTATTTTAAATACATGTTCGACTCCGTTCCGTTCAAATCCGTATTATTTATAGTTCAACGGGGATAACAACCTAAAAAATATTTTTTTAGTCTCCGAATCTAATGTTTTCATTAAAAACTAGTCGTTTGGAAATTATCGAAGCTACAGACCGATGCGCGGGTAGTCTTATCTTATAATTGCCTACAGACGCATCAATGTAGGCATTACAAATATCGATATGCCTACAAAGAAACAAATTCACTTCCGCTTATATAAGGGAAATTTTCATTGCATAAATATAAATAAGAACTAAAGTAAGCAAATAATTTCTTCCTTATTCATGCAGCTGCCTTTTTGGAAATACATAATTACTAAACGACTATACGGCAGATAGAATTTTTATCCTTCGAAATTAATTAACCTAATATACCCTTTAATTTTAATGAAAAACTGTAATTAAGGCTGTAAGTTGTAGTACTTTTTCTTTTAATAAACAGGTAGAAGACTGCCGTACTAGCCGAGTACATAACGTAAATAACGATTTACTATCAGGTACAGAAACGGCATTCAAATCTGAATAATGTATTACCAGTAGCCAATTAATTAATTATGTATTGCCAACACATGTTGACTTATTTTTAAGTTCAATGTCCTGTACGACGACATTGAAATATCTGTAACCACCTTCAGACGAAAATGCACAAACATTTTAAAAATACTTAACAGAATTGACCTATATATAACCTTACGAAACCTTTAAGTAAATATTCTGGCGTAAGTAAAAACATAATGAAGCTCAAATTTCTACTATACTAAGTCGTATTTATTGCCGTGTCTATCCGAGTAGTAAAATTCATCAAAACTGGCAGTGTGGTATATGTACACACAGCTCACTTCCGCGTTTATAATATAAGCAAATAAACCTTACTTTATAATGTGAGTTTCTATTTTATTTAATTTTAGTTTAAATTTTCTTAAAATCGTATATAACCTTCAGATGCCTTCAACGGACCTCCAAATTACACATAACAGTAACGAAATTGGACAAAAACCCTCAAGGCCTAGGGGAGATAGTCGACAGTTTCCTCGTACAATTAATAGGCATATAAAATCTATTCAATTATTTTTCCTTAGAAAATGACAACAGATTTAAACTCGTAACCAAAATATGCCTGAAAACTGCAACTAAATTATGAAACGCAATTACTGCGCCCCTCCAAACTGAACAAAAACAAATCGGTTATGAAACAAGAGGTAGAATCAAAGTTAAATCTGAGAATTAGGTCCAATAACGTTAAGAGTTGAAAAGTTGTACAATAGCAGTGGTGCGTAACGGGAAAGTTATTATGTAACTGATTTTATTCCGGATGTTAAATCAACTTTACAACCCTAGCTTAGTGCAAGCGGAACGCGTGTTAATCACTGTTAACTATACAGCCTTATTGCTATATTAAAAGATCACACAACGTAAGAAATCATTAGATGCACTATGTCAGGTTAATCAACCGTCACCATACTACACACATTCAGCATTTTACGAAAAATCTAAAGTATCGCGTATTTTTGTCAACAACAATCAAATAATTTTTCTTCTGATCAATAAATGGAATATCAACATATTTAGGAGTACTACTTTAATTATTTAAATATTAAATACTATAATGTCCTTTACATTTCACTTGCACGCTAAGAATGTGTAGCGTAATAAAAATTCGGTGCTTACCATCACAGGTTGCAGCCATAAACTTCCCATTCGCAGAGAAGTCCACCATAAGAACGTTTCCCGGATGTCCCTTGAGATTTTTAAGAAGCCAAGGGTGAGAAAATTCGGTTTTCTGTTTCCATGTTCCGCGCTTCTTGCTCTTTCCGGTCGGACGGCTTTCGGTTACAGTGTTTTCGGACGCTGGTGCAATTGGTTCCACTGTAAAATTATATAAGAAATTAAAATGTAAAAATTTCAATATGCTGAACAGCACGCAAAATGTTGGATAACATTTAAAATACATAATTGTAATATTGTGTCAATTTCCTTGAATGAATGTTGATATTAAAATTAGTCCAATAAACTGTATATTTTCTCAAATTTGTTACAGATATCGTAATCAGCTATCGATTCCTACTTGTTAAATTTTTCATCAGAAAATGTATTTCATACTTATTAGAATTAATTCTACATCTTTAATTAATAAGATTTTATATAGCTCCGGATATTAATCATTATTATTTAAATATGTACTTAAAACAGGGCACTTTCGTTCTTTTATCGACAAAAGAGGGGAAAACGCGTACTTTTACTACAATACTATCATAATAAGAATGTGATTAAAAATTCATACAAATATTTAAAGCCATAAAATATGATAAGAAAGATAAAAATTACATAAAGACTTAAATGAACGTATTTGTGATAAGTAATACGTAATAGTAGGTAAATACTTATGAGCCGCAAGAATTGTTCAAATTGAAAACAAATTATTTCGTGACCAATCGCTCATATACAGAATCGATTTTTAACACGTGTGAAAAACTAACAAAGCATCTCATTCATTTTGCATTTGTAGAGTTGGACAATGACCAATCATTGATTATGTGAGAATTTAATGGTATTGTTTATGTTTGTTTATTATCTGTGACATATTAGACTTTTTTATTTCTTTAAATTTTTTACTTAGCTATCTACATCATTATCTACATAGAAAAAGTTTATTCTTTTTCCTGTCCTCAAACTCCTACAATGTAAATTAAGCCATTCAATAAAATACTTTGTCATTCATGACTCAAGGCAATTCATAAGAAACAACTGAATAAGCCTTATAATCTCAAAATAACTATAACAAATATTTCATTATGAAAACTAATGTTGGTTATATACCCAATATATATATATAACCTTCATTTAAGCAAAATTTTTAAAACTTAGTCAGGAAATTCTTTAGTTTGTAGTTGTACTTAGGAAATAATATCAATTTATACAATAAGATAAATACTTATTTTTCATGTTAAAGAAATATTATATTAATTTCATAATACATAATTACAAAGTGTGTAATCTACCATTTTACTATTTTAGGTTTTTGATTTAAATGTCTAACCATCATAACAATATTGTATGATCAGGTGGAGGCCAATTTAAATTCTGAAACATGACATAACAAACTGGTTGAGAAGGTCATGGTTCAATAGTAAACAAGAGTTTTACTTATGTTAAAAATTCTACTTCTCCACATGGTGAAAAACAAATTCAGAATTATTACTTTGCTAAATACTAATAATAAATGTAGGAACTAGCTCTATGATTATTTTCTAAACTATTATATATATATATATATATATACATTCTTACTGAAAATAATACTAGAATACAGTATGAGAAATACAGATATATTTAACAAATTATAATTAACTTTAGATTACCACATGTGTTGTGAATCATCAACCCTTTATAAGCACATGGTTATACTGTCATAACCACATGAAGAACAATTTGAACATCCAAAAAGCATTTCTTTTATGTAAAGTTACGCTAATAACAAGGAGAGTAAATATTTCATTAGAAATGGAAATATGTTACACATAGTAAGTATGTACTGTAATGGACATCTTTGCCAACCAAGATGTAAGAGACACAGTAATGAAAATATTAATAATACTTTACAGTCTTTATTACGGTAAAAGATTATTAGGATTACGGTACGACCTTATTTTAAAGGAAAAAAATACAGTTAACTTTAGCGAAAAAAGCTGTATGTATGCCAGTGACTTTGCGCGGCAAACCACGTGTAAATGGGTTTACGTTGTAATGCAACAAAGAGAAAAATACATGTAACAAAAATATTAATTTTAATCATCTTGCTACTTATTAGGAAAATTAATAATAAAACCTACCCATAGCCCTCGAAGTTTCATCTCCTGTTTCAGGTTTCTTGTTGCCAAAAATGTTCTTGTATATGAAATGTATGATAATGCATGATAGAACTGTAGCTATTATAACCAAAATAATATTCATATTTAAACCGGTGTCGATTTCACTCATTTTCACTTAGAATTATTTTAATTTCTCCGCTAACGATATTTGTCAATATAGGAACAATCACGCGGTATCAGACTCAAAGGAAAACTGCCAAAACACCGCAAGTCACAGAATACAGATCCACAGATCACGTAGTACAAACAGTGTTGCCAGCTCGGAATTTGAAAATTACGTAGGCCAGAAAATTGCGATGGTTTAGTAAAAATTGTATAGAAAAAGTTCGTAGATCTACTGAATTTTTTTATGAGTGAAATGAAGAGGGTAGGGTAGATTAAACGAGTGTTTTTTTTAATTATCATTATTATTTTCTGGTAAGAAATTTTGATTATAAAGTTTTTATTGTAAAGTTTAATATGATCTTGCGTTGGCTCAGGGTAACTTTACAGACCACTTTTTATAAAAAGTAACCCTGTGAGGGTTTCAGTAGACAGTCTGTTTCTGATATTAGTTTTGATTAAGTTTATTAAAGAAAAAGTCGTTCAACATTTGCGCTGCTATGAGGTAATGTTAATAACTTTTGTGTAGATTGGGCCAGGGCCCAGGAGAGCTTGAACTGCTGAGTTGCATCTCCTTTTTTTATTTTGGCAATATGACGCCAAAACTCATCTGCTTTGATTAGCTGATCCTCTTGAAATCGAAGATTTGTGTTTTTTAAAAGTTCTCCATTCCCGGTATTTGTTGGACATAATCCTGAAAATTAATTAGCAGTGCAGAGTAAACTTAATTTATAATTTAAAAAAAGTTAAAATTAATGATAAACATATTACCGGGAAACATTTGCCCCAAATGAGCTATAGATGGTACAGAACGTTTTAAATTCGAGTCCAGCAAAGTTTCAAGGTTTAAGAACCTTAAATTCTTCAGGCTTTGTCTTTGCTCATCTTCAAAGGGAAAGAGTTTTTTGATTTGATTAAGACTTTCAATTTTAAAAATTCAAGACATTTTTGTCTTAACTGTCCTATTTTATCAGGATGAATACTGTTCCTGATCTTTGTAATTAAAGCAGCCACATTGCGTCCTAAGTATATGTCTTCCAGGAGTAAGTGGTTTTCAGTTTTTCAAAGTCTATAACAAATATTTTTGTTTCTAATGCTTCAGCTTTGTCATGGAATGTATGTCAGATTTTTCCTGTTCTGTCAATTCCAAATATTCTGGCTTCATAAAACATTCTAGTTTGGTTCCATACATTAACCAAGGATTGACTGAGCTGCAAGCAATCGGTCAGTTAAAACAGCACTTATAGGTTCTATGCTGGTAGTTGTTCTAGAGGTAACGATTTAGAAATACGTTGGGCGTTTTGAGTGGAAGAGGGGGGAGTAGGAGGGGTCACACAATACAGATCACAAGTGCGATGTTAGTGACATCTGCTATTACTGATAGCTTCGAATCGAGTTAGTCAAATGACAGTTAACCCACCCGGCCGGCTGAATGGAAGGTTAACCTATTGTTACATGAAACATAAACAATATCTTTATTGGCTATTCCTTTTTCTAAATAATGAAATATTAAACGACACTATATATGTAGGAAAATATATAAACATATATTTTTTTCCAATCAAACATCTTGGTCATCCCACCAAAGTTGAAATGCGTCTTGTTGTCTAGGAACGTTTAGGAAACTCGTTAAACGTTTCGTTCAGTCACTTGTCTGACGGAACTTTAGCGAGTTATCTTTAATTAACTGTCTGAAGATTCAATTAACTCTCTGATTTAACTACTTTACTGCGACATATATAATAACTCATATCGAATGAGGCTTTATTTATAAAATATGAACCAATTTATAACACCGGACTATGGATAGACATTTGATATAAAAATTAAAAATTAAATTTCTTTTCACTTGATTGAATTTTCAAACAGACGAAAGATTAAAAACAAAAGCAAATACCATTTATACAACTGTTAACGAGCACTTCATATTTTCATTATATTGAACATATATATACATTCCATATCATATCTATAACTTTGATAACTTGGACAATTCGTCACCATTTTTTGGTGACTTTTGTAAAATTATTTATTAGTTTTGTTTATACTGCTGCCAAAAACTCGTAAAGTTTTATCGTGTTCATTCGGTGATGCTTTGGCGGAATATACAATCCACGGGAGTAAAAATCAAATCCATACTTTATGGGCATACGTGAAACATACTTGGCCTATAATAAGAACTAAAGCATAGTTGTATAATAAAACAGATATGTATGCAATAGCTTCTCTTAACCGTTTTTAGTATTAAATACCTAAATATATTAATTTATGATTTTTAATTATGAAATATAAATTTGCAGACAGCAAAAAGTTTTGATACTTTAAAATAACAATAAAATAAACTATGGTATTAAATTGACATAAGTCTTAAAATCATATACCATAGTAACAAAATGCAATAAATATTTAGTTACAATTAATAATAGATAAATTGCACAATGATTTTCCTCCAACCACTTTAAATACTGATTATGCCAGGCAGAAGCCGAAGGTAAGATTTTATAAAATGAATACAGTGTTAATAATAATGAAAAGGTAATTTTTATTAACATTTTTAAAGCTCGTGTAATAGCTGCAGGCGTGAAGAAAATCATGGGTAAGCAAAAGCCTCATTATACAGACGGGACTAATATCATGCTTATAAAATAATAAATATATGACATTAATATAATATATTTATTTCGTCATATAAGCGGTTTACCATTTATTACAAATCGCAACAGGCATAGAAGAAGTATTTATGTAATAGACTTTACCACCATACATAATATCGTTGAGTACTTATAGATAGTCACAAATATTTCTTAACTCTACAAAATCCTCAAAAAAATCCAAAAGTTTGAGTTTGAAAGGCTACTTAAATATCACGATCATTATAGTATCTAAAGAAGTTTCAAATAAAAAATACACGTTGAATAGGCTTATATACAATAATAGTTTAAAAGCTATTTCAGATTATTGTGTTTCAGATTATCAGAAATTGTTATTTTAATTTCTGATAAGTATTGGATTTAAAAATTAAAATAAAACATTCATAATTTTATGAACCTATCAAAACGGTTCTTTAGGCAAAATAGACAAAAACCTACAAAATAAGCTTTAAATCATTGATTATTTACAAATCATTTTATTCCACAACGCTTTTAAAGCCATGTTTTAGAAGTGTTTCAATAGTGTCAAATATCGTAAACCGGTATTGGAAGTATAAAAAAATATTTAAATTATAAAGAAGTATCACAGCTTAACAATAATTTTGCATTTATTCTGATCTGTAGCAGTTACCACAGTAAATATAAAATTAACTTTATACGCATTATTTTTCTATCTCTTTCTTTCGAGTTGATAAAACAGAGATGGCTATAAATTCTAGAAAAATAAAGAATAAAGTTCTCGACTGTCATGAAGTTTGACAGATATGACAGTATATCGAAAAAGTAATAGAAATCGCAGTCAGTTCAAACTTCAATTGAAGTTCGCAATCGCATTGCGATTAAAAGCAAATAAAAACTGTGAGGCGAAAAAGTGTTGGAAAAATGCCTCGACGAGGACGTTCTGCAAGTCCACCACCAGCGCCCCAAAGGCGGTATGTATTTGGTGAATTTTTAAATAATTTCAGGAATTTTTGTTTGACAAACATAACCTAAGACTTGATGTAACTTCTAGGGCTGCTCCTCCACCAAGCCGTGTGCCTGCCCCTGCACCGCCTTCTATGCCGGCAACTAGCGTTGCTCAGCCTCAACAACCTTCTATGTTCAGTCAAATGGCCGCAACAGCAGGAGGTGTTGCCGTAGGCTCAGCCGTGGTAAGAATTTGTTACGTAATTAAATAGTTTTGAATACCTCGCACTTTTTTGACCTTACTAATTATTTAGGAGTCTCGGAGGACCTTCATTGGAACACCTCCAAGTGAGTTTTGCTCCGGAAACGCGTCAAAAATTTTATAAAGATTTATAAAGTAAACTTTGCACTGTAAAACTAATTACCGCTAGTCTAGCATAAACCACATTCAAAATGGCCGAATTAAGTTTATAAAATTAATAGGGATGTGAAAAATAATCGATTTTTTTAAAAGTGAAAATCGATTTTTGTATTGATTTTAATATTAAAAATAATTGAAAATTCGGCGACCAAATATTCATATACTAACTCTAACCTAACCAATCTAAATAATATTTGTTTTTGTGGAACTGGTAGGGAAAAGCCCTCCACCCTTGCGTAAAGCACAGGCATTTTATTCAGCCTCCGCACCTGGCTTTTTGGTCCCTTCGGCGACCAGCCTCAGCCGCTACACTTTCATAATGCTGGTTTGTTAAGGTGGTGTGATAAATAATTAGGGTAAGACAGAAAGACCACGTGGATAGGGGGTGCTTGATTGGTTGGGTATTTTGGATATTAAAGTAAACATTTATTCTAGTAAAAATTAAATAATATAGAAAGTTGCAAACAATGAAATACAAGTACTAATTAGAAAATACAACGATGGTAGGTATGCGATAATTTCAAAAAATTTCGGAACCCTATAATCGTATCAACACGAAATTAGGTTAATTTCAATGTTGATTATTCTATAACTTTAAATTTCAAAAATGAGGAAATAATAGATAAATAAATAAAACGATTATTAACAATCGATAAATTAAAAACACGATTTTTTTAAGTGAACGTCACATCACTTATAACCAATAGAAAAGTAGAAAATGGCGATTGTTTACAAATTTTAATACATTACACAAAACTTTAATTTTTTTATAAAAATATTTAGACGCGTTTCGGAGCAAAACTATTGGAGGTGTTCAATGAAGGTCCCCGGACACTCCTAATAATTAGTATTCAAAAAGTGCGGTAACCAACCTTAGAAACTTTTGTCTAATAAAATGCTAAATAATAAATATATGAACCATATTGATAGGAATATGTAATATGTAAAAAATTAATTAGTGGCACTATAATTTTTTTTTTAGGTTTTGGACTTTAGATTTCTGTATCTGTTTCATTACCATTTGTCAATCTAATATGCAAATAGGTGATGAGCTTCCTTCCTCCAAATGCTGTCAACTTTTTGGGTCTCTGGCAAGGAGTTTTCCTTCACCTTTTGAGCTAATATTAAATGCGCACATTGAATACAATTTCATTTGTGCACAGCGGGGTTTGAACCTATGACCTTAGGGATAAGAGTTGCATGATGAAGCCACTAGGCCAACACTGCTCTCATTGATAGGAATATGTATAATATTATATGGTACCAAATTGATAGGGATAGCATAGCTATTTTGACTAAGATGTATGTATGAATTTTCTGATATGATCTTTTGATTAAATCTTTGTATAGTTGCTATATTATGTATGTATGACCCATATACTAAGACATTTGTCCTCACTACAGTATTGTTAGAAATTTCATTTAATTTATATTTACTGTCATTCTGAAACAGTCACATTCAATCACTACAAATAATTCTTCTTTGATGTTCTGTCAATTAATAAAGCTATATTATTCTATCTTTACAGGGTCATGTGGCTGGTAGTGCTCTTACAGGAATGTTTAGTGGCGGAGGTAGCAGTGAGCCAGCTCAACAGCAGGCTGCTCAGCCAGCCCAAGCCACTTACCAGCAATACGAGGGTACACAGCAACCCCAAGGACCCTGTGCTTGGGAAATTAAGCAGTTCCTGGAATGTGCCCAACAGCAAAGTGATCTTTCTCTTTGTGAGGGATTCAATGAAGCTCTTCGTCAATGCAAAGTCAACAACCATCTTTAAATATTCATTGCAGTAGCTTCTATTAATTGAAATTCTGTATTCATGGCTAAATTCTCTGGCTACCTCGTCTCGTTTTCCAATTCTAGGAGACAACTACCTGGCAATTATTGGTATTTAGAATTGTTTTAAAGATTATTTTAGATAAATTTTAGTCAATATAATTTTATTAATATCCTTTTAGCTACATATGTAGCTGTTGAGACAACAATTATTGTTAATTATTAGAAATGACTTACTTATATTAAATAAATACATTTTAAAATGTAATTGTAGTTTTATTTCAAAACCGTGAGCCATTAATGGAAGTCAAGGTTTTATCTGATACATATTTAACTTGTGGTGTTTATTAAATTTTTGTACTCATAATGTCAACTCATTAATTAGTCATAAGGTCGCGATTTTCAGTTGATGTATATGACATAATGAATGAATAAAGTTTTTTTTAAATTAAATATTTTCGTCACCCTGTGTTTTAGTCATGCTAACAAAACAAATTAGAAGCTTAATTTAAGATGTAAACGTTGTAAAACAAGGCTGATCTTTAGGGAGTTAGTTGACTTTTTCTGATTCAACGGAACCTCAAATCTATCATTGTGTATCTGCTGGCACACAGAAAACGCAAGCATTCTATTTCCGTATATTTGCAGTTCTAGTGGCTCTCGGTCGCGCTACTCCCGCGCAGACCAGCATGCGCCGGCGCGAACGCCGCCTGTCGTTGTGACGCCGATGCCTCGTCGTAGCATTTTTAGGGATGCAGCGGCTGTGGCTGGTGGAGTAACAGTAGGAACGACTATGGTATGACATTACATGACATATTCCTTTTAACTAAGTATTATAGTGATTTTTCTAATTACCTAGTCGGTCCCAAAGTTCTGTTATAAATGGAAATAATGATAAAAACAAAAGTACTGATCAGTTTTTAATTAGTGATATATCAATTTATAGAACATTAATTAAGGAATAGAAATAGTATAAAATTATTCGTAATGACCTCCCTTTTTTTTAATACACGCCCTTAAGCGCCGCGGCCAGTCGTCTATTGCTGCACGCACCATATTCATGTGGATTTCAGTGACTGCTTTTCTTAAAGATGACTTCAGATTCTCCGAATTTTAATGGGGTTTATCACAGACCTTCCTCTCTAAGACCTACCAAATTGTATAGTCCAAAGGATTAAGGTCCGGACTGGAGGAAGGCCAATACTCATGTCTAATTAAGTCGATGTTTTGACACTCAAGCCAGGCTTGAGTGGTCTTGGTTTTGTGTGCAGGCGCAGAGTCCTGCAGGAACACGAAGTGATGTCCCGCAAATAGCGTGCTGGCAGGTCTTTGACAAGCCGATCCAAAACCGTCTCTTGGTACACTTTTGCACTGGTTTTGACCCCCTTTTCGCAAAAATGAACCTCAGTTGGCCGTAATAGGACACTGATGATGGATGATGTCCATTTGCACCCTCGGAACTTTATTTTCTGCTTCTTCAAAAGCGTACACTTTATCATTCTGTTTATTGTACTCCTCTTCAATAGCGAAATTTTTTTCGTCCGTAAAGAGGTGTCTGTGTTTCGTGTACCGCTTTAACAACACCCGCGATCTCTTAAGCCTTATTGCTTTTAGACGAGCATTAAGTAAGTGCCCACTCGTTTTTTGTATGCTCGTAGTGTAATATCTTCATTTAAAACCTTTTTTACTGTTTCCCTACTGACACCCATCTGCAAAGCCATCAACTTATGTTTTCGGACAGGATTTCTTGCTATCCGCGCCTTGATAGCTTTGATTACTGATGGTGTTCTTGCGGAGCGTGGCCGGCCAGTTCTTTTCTTGTCCTCAACACTGGAGACTTCATTGTACCTATCGATAGTACGGTACACAAACCCAAGCGTTATATTCAAATTTTTGAGCAAGTTAAAAGGCGAGTGCCCACAGCGGTGCAACGTTATAACATGTCTCCTACATCGTGAAAAATTACGGAAAGTTATTGTTTTTTGTTTTAAAACAATAGTCAAACATTTAAAAATAGCCCCCCCCCTCCTCCTCTCCCCCCCCCCCCCCCCCCCCGCCCCCCCCCCCGCCCCCCCCTCCCCCCCCCCCCCCCCCCCCCCCCCCCCCCCCCCCCTCCCTGCCCCCCCCCGGGGGGGGCCAGACCGCCCCTTCCCCTTTTCCCCCCCCCCCCCCCCCCTTTTTTTTTTTATTTTTCCCCCCCCCCCCCGTGGGGGGGGGGGGGTTTTTTCTCTTCCCCCCCCCCCCCCCCCTCCCCCCCCCCCCCTCCTTTTTTTTTTTTTTTTTCTCTTTTTTTTTTTGTTTCCGTGGTTTTTTTTCTTCCCCCCCCCCTTTCCCCCCCCCTTTTTTTTTTTTTCCTTTTTTTTTTTTTTTTTTTTTTTTTTTTTTTTTTTTTTTTTTTTTTTTTTTTCCCCCCTTTTTTTTTTTCTTTTTTTTTTTTTTTTTTTTTTTTTTTTTTTTTTTTTTTTTCTTTTTTTTTTTTTTCCTTTTTTTTTTTTTTTTTTTCTCTTTTTTCTTTTTCTTCCCCCTTTTTTTTTTTTTTTTTTTTTTTTTTTTTTCTTTTCTTTTTTTTTTTTTTTCCATTTGGGTTGGGGGGGGGGGCCCCCGGGGGTTTTTCCCCTTTTTTTTGGGTTTTTTTTTTTTTTAATTTTTTTTGGTTGGGGGGGTGGGTTTTTGGGTTTTTTTTTTTTTTTTTGTTTTTTGGGAGTTTTTTTTTGGGTTTTTTTTTTTGTTTTTTTTTTTTGGGTTGTTTTTTTGGGTTGTTTTGTTTTTTTTGGGTTTTTTTTTTGTTTTGGGGGTGTTGGGGGGGGGGGTTGGAAATTTTTTTTTTTTGTTTTTTTGGGGGGGGGGGGGTGTTTGGGGGTTTTTTTTTTTGGGTTTGGGTTGGGGGGTTGGTTTTTTTTTTTAAAAAAAGGAAAAGGGTTTGTGGGAAAAAATTTTTTTTTTTGGGTTTTTTTTTTTGTTTTTTTGGTTTTTTTTTGGTAGGTTTTGAGTTTGGGGTTTTTTTTTTTAATGGGTTTATTTTTTTTTTTGGGTTTTTTTATTAGGGGGGGGGGGGGTTTTGGAAAAGTTTTTTTGATTTTTTTTTTTTTTTTTTGGTTTGTTTTTTGGTAAATTTGGGGGTTTGGGGGGGTTTTTTTCTTTTTTTGTTTTTTTTTTTTTTGTTTTGGTTTGGGGGGAAAGCCATTTTTTTTTGGAGGCTGTTTTTTTTGGTGGGGGGGGGGGCGGGGGGGGGGTTTGTGGGTTTTTTTTTGGGTGGGTTGATGCAATAATTTTTTATAAAATCATGTTCGAAATTTAAAAATGTGCCAGTGACAACTTTGGGACCAACGTACCTATAATTTATTTTTTTTTGCTTCTAATTATAATTTGCCTAAAATAATACGAGGCATGCCTTTTAAGTTCTGTCGTTTCCATATTTCCCGACAATTTTGAATTTGGACCTGTACTATATTCGAATGTGTTTACATTTTTAATCTCAAAACAGTTAAAAGTATTAGGATTAATGCTATTGTTTAGTCACAGCGTCGATTTGAATCTGTCAAGTTACGTACGAAAATGAATCTTTCTAAGGAAAATGTTCGTGCAATAATTTTCTACAACTTTAGAAGAGGCCTGACACGGCTTCAGTGTTTTGAAGAGCTTATATCTGTGTTCAGTGATGAAGCCCCATGTCTGCGGACTGTCGAACGCTGGTATTTAAAATTCCAGCGAGGACATACTAGTGTTAGTGACAAATCTCGCGAAGGACGCCCAAAATCCGCCTTCACTGAAGAAAACATCATTGCTGTGAGACAATTAATTCTCGAAGATCGTCATGTGACGTATTGAGAGATAGAGGCTCTATTAGGCATCTCAGGGACAACCATTCAGAAGATCTTGCATGAAGCGCTTGGTGTGAGAAAGCTAGTTTGCCGTTGGATACCGCATCTGCTTTCCGACGATCACAAGGCGGCCTGCGTCAGATGGTGTAAGAAAACTCTGCAAAGGTTCAACCGAAGAGAGTCAAATCACGTCTACGACATCATCAGTGATGACGAATCTTGGATCTATGCCTACGATCCTGATTCCATACAACAATCTACAATCTGGGTCTTTCAAGACGAGCCAAAGCCGACTAAACTCGTTCGTTCTCGAAGCACTTCAAAGATGATGGTGGCCACGTTCGTTGGAAAAACCGGCCATGTTGCGACTATTGCACTTGAAGATCGTAGAAAGGTTAACGCAGAGTGGTATACCACAGTTTGTTTACCACAAGTCATCGCCAAACTTCGAAAATCTAACTTAAAGCGACGCATCATCCTGCACCACGACAACGCAAGCTCACACAGCGCTCGTCAAACAATTCAGTATTTGAAGCAGGAAAAAGTAAAAATTCTTGACCATCCTCCATACAGTCCTGACCTAAGCCCTAACGATTTCTTTACATTTCCAAAAATTAAGAAAAGTCAAAGTCGTGGTCAAAGGTTCCAGTCCGGTGAAGAAGCAGTCGACACTTTCAAATCAGCCATTTTGAACACCTCCACTTTAGAGTGGAATAAATGTTATAATAACTGGTTTGAGCGAATGGAAAAGTGTATTAAGCTACGTGGTGAATACTTTGAAAAACAATAAAAAGTACTATAAGGTTCTAGTTGTGCTTTTTTCTGCAAACGACAAAACTTAAAAAGCATGCCTCGTAATACTAGTTTTACGCATCCTTTTCCTCAAAACTTACGACCAATGACGTTTACATAGAATTACATCAAATGACCAATTTAAAAAAGGTATCCACGATTGCGTCATGCGTGTATAAAAATTGAGGTGTTTAAACTGAAAAGTACGTCAAATATGTATCTGACCACATTTAGGGCCATCTAGCGGGAGAAGCAATTTCGAGTCTATTTACGGGCCGCCACCGTGAAGAAGTCATGCACTCACTTCCGCAAAACTATCAACTTGGCACCGAACCCAGCGGACCTTGTGCCTACGAGATCGCACAGTTTTTGCAATGCGCGGCTAACCGTGACAATCTGCAGGAATGCGAGGCTTTCAATGAAGCTCTAAGGGATTGCAAGAGAAGGAATCGTAAGTTTTCTTTAGGCAAAGTTTATATGTTGTTTATTTCAGTGCTATTTCTTAGGAAAGTTTAGGTTTAATTAAAGTTTTATGTAAATTAACTGAAATATAACAATTATTGTTAAAGCCTATATAATACTTGCCAAAATACACGAATTTCACGCGGGCGAAAACTACTCCTAGTACCATTGTCTATCCGGACTGGTCGCATCAAATTATTATTATAACAGTTCTTATTTACATTTCAGGCCTACCATAATGAAAACTTTTAATCACCGAAGCAGCCAACTTTTAATCTGAATTGTCAATAAAAAATTGCAAATACTTAAGCCGTTTTAATTTCTAGCGAGGTCCTCCAAGTATGAAGCGTACCGCGTTAGTACGCGGCGCTATATGATTTGCTCGTGTGGCAGACATTTTTAATAGCGATAATTATACGATAGGGAATATTAAGGACCACGTCGGCCACTATGGTAGCGCTGCGTTGTCAATTGACACCCCCAGACATCTAGGACTCTGACTTTTTAAGTTATCAATTTTTAAAGATTTTTGTATAATTAAAAAAATATTGTGTATGCACGCTTGGCAGACCTGCAGTGTTAGTTTAAAAACCCTGCGAACGACCGCAGAAAAATAGTCTGCCACCATCTAAGCGCTGTTTTCTATTAAGAGCCAAAAGTGTCGACAAAAAAATGTGAGCTATATCATTTGCTCGTGTCTGCCTATTTGACTGTTGTTTATGTTGCTTATATAAAAACATTAAATGAAGCAGACACCCAGCGTGATGTACCGAAAGCAGACCATTTGCATTTTTTGAATGTTATTTATTTAATTCTTTTACATTACATTTTTTTTCGGAGCGGAATTCATATTGTTTGCAGATCAATAAAAATTTCAAAACCACAAAAAAAATCATATTACGAATTGTTAGATACACCTATCTTCTGTGATAATGCAGAGACCTGGATGTCTGCGTTATAATTTTCTTCGTTATCTAAATGGTATTGGCCACTAATCCCAGAGGCCGACACAAGAAATTGATTTAGTATCGATGTTTTAACAGATTCAAACCTCTGTAACTTAAAAAATCAACAACGTACGACCTTAATTCATCAAGAAAATTTTGTTGTATTGGTCCGAACTTTAATTCCTATCATTACGAAATACGAGCAAATCATATACCTCTCGCCAACTCCCTACCCCCCCCCCCCCCCCCCCCTCCTCTTCCCCCCCCCCCCCCCCCCCCCCCCCCCCCCTCCCCCCCCTTTTTTTTCCCCCCCCCCC